ATATATAAATTGAATTTAACTAAGCAAAATATTCAGACGAGAAATTGAGTCAAACATTGAAGATCAAAATCAGTCAAACAATTTACCGAAGGTGTGTAGCCTCGGATACTAAGAACTACCACCGAAGAGGGATTGAGAAACAAAAAATGAATTTTGAGGAATCGAAATAGTTGCAGAGAGGGAATGAAAACAAATATAATGGTATATAATGCAGAAGATATTAGCTGTATAAAACAATATGCAACCACATATTATGGTCCTATAAAGCAACAAGCATGGGGGCAATTAACCGATATGGACCCGACAAATAAAGAAATAAAGAACGCAACAAAATGACGAACATTCATCAAAACAATTGAAAATTCAAGTGACCCCATAATGTTTACTGGTATAGATAGTGCAATGAATTTTAATTTTAATTCTAATTTCAGTTTTTTTGGCTGGATTAAAAAACTAAAAGAAATGAAATAATAATGGCAACAAGATGCAGGGGAGGTTCTTTTATTATGCAATGAAGCAGCAGACACCTTGAAAAGGACTGCATATAAAAAAACAGAGGTGAAAATAAATGAGTGTATCACATCAAATTATACTGTTACATACATCTCCATGGCCACACATATTACAATCAAGATTTAGTTTTTATGTTGCACCCTTCGGACAAAAAAGAACATAATTAACTGAATTTGTAATATTTTAGTACACAGAACTAATAGAAAATTAAAGAACAGCTAGGGCTTCTCTCTCTCTCTTTTTTTTTTTTTTGGTTGCAGGAGAAATTAAAAGAAGAATGTCGAAATTTAGTATATTTGGATTAATTTGCTAACAGTTAAATTTCGACCCTAAGGTGTCGATTTTGTACTCCAAAATCGACATCCCAATGTCGATTTTTACCTATAAAATTCGGCATGTACATGTCGACTGCGTCTGTGCGGGATTTAAAAAAAACTAAAATGAAACAACTAAATTTCGACATCAAGGTATCGAATATATGTCCATAAATTCGACACCTTAATGTCGAAATTTAGTATATTTGGACTAATTAACTATCAGTTAAATTTTGACACTAAGGTGTCGATTTTTAACTATAAAATTCGACATGTACATGTCGACTGCGTCTGCGCGGGATTTTTTTTGGAAAAACGATATTCTAGCTTAAGAACACATAAATACATATCTTCTTGGATTCTTCCACCGTAGAATGTTCTAATTTGATGTCTTCTGACTCCATACTTGCCATGTTTGTAAGATTTGTTGAGTTTTGATGATTTTGAATGTTTATGTTTTGTGGGTTCATGGAGGAGGAAGGAGAAAGGTTTTGTGAATTTTGGAAGGTGGAGAAGATGAGAGTTGGTCTTGTGGTTTTGTGATAGGATTTTTTGTGTTTTTGAGTTTTTGTATTGCACATTTGGAATTTTCTATTTTTTGTAACAAGTAAGGGTATTATAGTATTTATACATTAAAAATTTTAATTTGATCTTGCACAAATGGAATTAGTCTTGCATATAGCCCAGCCTAATAAATATTGTCATCCTTTCAAATTTCAAACTAAAAAAACCCATGGAACTAAAATTAATACAAAAGAATGATGTAAGGAGACATATAAATATATAATATAACAAAAAGACACCAAACAAACATACACACACACTGAGATTTTCATCTGACGTCACCCCTTAATTTAAGTTGAGAATTAGTTGGATAATACAACAAGATTACAAGAGACAAGAAGAAGAAGAAGAAGAGCCCTTAAAGTAGAAAGAAAAAGGCAAATCTACATCAAAATAATTACAGACATAAACAAACAAACATACATACACATATCCGAGGAAACAAGGTTAACTTATATAGTTCCCCTTCTTACATCACCTAACAACTTTTCGTCACTGCCCAAATATGAAATACCATACGTATCACCTTCGACGACGTTTTGTTTCCACCTGAAAAAGCCCATGTAACTGATAATATTGCCGATATAATACCCAATTATCGCAGCATACGTGTTACATGAGCGGAAAAATATATTAGATAATTAGGAGTGATTATATTGAATTTTTTACCTTCATGTCGGCGTGAGAAGTGGGCAATTTCTTCTGATCTTCGGTGGAACAATTATAGCAGTAAAAGTGTTCGACTTTTCTGGCTTCTTCTGGTGTCATGTCTATACAAGTTGGATGAAACCTGAGTCAATAATCGAAACCATATATTTTCAATGCCACTCCCGAAAGTATATATTATCATACAGATATATTCATGTAAATATTGCTATTATCTATGACATTGTCTTACCATGTCAAGAATTTACGGAAGCAACAAAACTATATTTGGATAGTTTGCTATCGAATTTTTTGAAATTTACGAAAATGACTCACTGAGTGTCGACAAGTGTCCAACAACATAAATAGTTACGGTCCCAATTCTAACTGGTAACAAATGCCGGGAGTTTGCAGTGTTTCATTGATAACCTATTTACTCGAAACTACTATTACAGTTAGCAAACTACTACTAAGTTCATTGTGCTATAAATTACGCGAAGAGGGGGATCGAATTGTTTACTCCAACACTGAAAAAGTGCAACTTAAGATCACACTATATCGAGATGTGAAATCTCCGTTTATATGTTTCATGGTACCGTACAGTAGGACTTTATGAAATTTCTCTCCCGAGATAGTTAGTAATCACTTTTGCCTATTTTTTTCTTAATGAAAAAGCAGGCAAAATCTATTTGTTCTAATTTTATTGTGTCATGAACAACGAATACATTTGCAGTCATTTTCTTAAAAGGCATAATAAAATTAAGAGGCAACAGGATATATTGAAGGAGCTCGACCCACAATTTATTAGCACATTTGAGAAAAATGACAGTACAGCCATGGAAACGCTACATTTATGGAGCTGGCCAATTTAAATATTTCTCAAGATAGTAAAGCAGGAAATGCAATAACTAGCTCTACGCAATCAGATAAGAGTTCACTTAACTTGAGTTTTACATCTTTCAATGAGAGTCAGGAGGATAATAGCTAGGTATATTTGGGCAATGATAAGGTTTTAACGCTATTTATATCAGCATTCTACGTAACCACATTATTTTAATAGTTATTACCAAAAAAAAATATATCCCGGTTCTTGCTCAAGTTTGGCACGACTTAAGTACGATTTTTTGTTTTGCGGGCAGCTCAAACTTGCTCTTATCTCGAGTTTCCAGCAACATATTTTTCAACGGAAATAACACTAAAATCAATTTCGTTGATATATGCACACTTAATGAATAGTAGTACACATATAAATTCTCGCTCATACAACTTCAGAAACACTTTTAGCTTCCAAAAAACTGTGTATTTCGAATTGTATTTCCGAATTAGCCTGACATATAGATATATAGATGTCCTCAGCACACAGTCATGAAGTGGCTTCATTTTCCAAAATAATCTAACCTCACGAACAAGTAATTTTGCCTTTTCGTAACATGATTGTATAGAATTTAAGAAGCAAAGCATGAAATTGGCAGTTAAGCAGAAAATAAATTCCTTCGAAACAATCAACTGAGAAAATGGTCCAGAGGAACATAATAAACTCACCAATCACTGCATTCTTCACACTGAACCATAAGATCGTCGGGGTTATAAGGCATCTCACATTTACAGTACCTGCCAAAGCAAAACGAGCAAGAAAAACTTTATTGAAAAACGCATCTAACAGAAGACACTTAAAAGCAAGAACTAATTCGAAAATTAACACGATGAAACAATCTTATGATTATTTGTCTTTTGATCTCGTAAGATAGAAATGTGATGAATGTTACGATGTTCTACTATAAATACAGCTGTTATTTGTAGTCGATTATTTCTATGCCACGCCCGTTGAAGACTACACCGGGAATTTTTTACCGTTGATCTACACACACCAATGTGGGTGTGTGGGTGTTTGTGTATATGAATGGTAAAGATCTACCCGGTGTAGCATAGAATAAACCAATTGTAGTATGATAAAGTTGTATTAATTGCGTATACAAAAGCCATTTCATTAACCGAAACTACTGCATTGTTTGAACACCAGCAACTCATTACCATAGCATGAATTGATCATAGAAATTAGAAACCAAAACCAAGTGGCTGTTTTGTTTCAACCTTCAGTCAAATGAAACTCCAATAACTTCAACAATTCAGAAACTAAGTGTAAGAAAATCAAACCATTAATTCAACAAATTAAACAATATAACCCCAAAAAAATAAAAATAAAATTACAGATTGAACTTACACGGCGACTCTGTCTGGATTGAAAGCACCGGTGGTTGAATTGTACTCGAATCGACAGAAGAAGTCTTCGTTCCCAACTGCATCGAGCTTAGTGTAGCCCTTGAAGCTGTGCACTGTGCACTTGCCCTCAATAGTGTCGGCGCTCTGAATATCGAAGTGGTCGGAGAGAAAAAGCTCCTTCGAGCCGTGGAATTGCCGCCGACCTCCGATCGATTCCTCCGGCCGGTAATACCATCTGACGTGGAACCTCACGTTCGCTCCGCGGCCGTCCGCCTCGATCTTCTCCACGCGCGCCACGTAGGACGGATTTGACGAGTCCGACGCCCTCATCAAAACGCAATCGCCCGCTGCACAAATTAACAAAAAACAAAATTCAATTGACCTCGAATTCGTGAGCAGACGAACTCAAACAAACAGATTTAAAAAGCAAGCTTTCAATTTGCGACGAGAGATTTACGAATTCGCGAAACTCACGGCGGATTGTTTTGCTGATGTGCTTGACGGCGTAGGAATCGAGGGTGCGGCGGCCGATTTTGGGCTTAGCCATGAGCTGTACGGCGGCGGAGGAGGAGGACTGCTGTCGGGGAGAAGGAGTGCATGTAGCGAAGATTCTAGAGAGAGAGAGAGGGTTTTAAGTGTAATTTCCTTTTCTTCTTTCCCAAATTCTACACCGAGAAACGCTCAGGTGCTCCGGCGGTCCAGGTACACCCCCAAATGGTACTCCGTAAGTTGATCCAACGGTGCTGATTGATTCAGTGTGTTTGATGATGGATTGCGATGAAGGGTAAGCGTGAAATTATGATGAAGATTGAGGGGCAAAATTAGGACAGAAATCAGATTTTAAACCTGACCCTGAAATCAATTAACGGTTGTGGTTTTGTATTAACAGACATGAAGACTTCGTGTAGTCGTCAACGGGAACGGCCTCCGTTTTCTCTATATTTTGTTCCGTTAAATACCTCATTCAAAATTAAAATTTAAAAATATATTAAAACACAAAATATCCTTGAGTTTTTTTTTTTTTTTTTGAGTAAGCAAAATATCCTTGAGTTAAAATAGAAAGTATTATATATCTTATTTATAGTAATCTATATTACACAAAGAGCCCCTCTATAATTAAATAATATCGATTTCATCTCATATTTAATAAAAAAAAAAACTAATTTCTTTTAAGATAAATTTATCTCATATAATTTTTTAATAATTATCTCATAATTGTTTTTTTTAATAACCCAAATGTCCGAGCTTGGCCCGATTAATTTTGGAAGTAGACAGACTTCCTCCGACAACGGTATGAAGTCGGGACCAGAAGAAACCATTATTTAAGCGAGATTATTAATTTATTAAATATTAATTTATCGAGGTTTTACTGTTCTAATTCCATTAATTTATGCATATGAAGCTCATAATTAATGTAAATCTAAACCTCCATTAATGAACCTTTTATATATACTTTTTTTCCTTATGAAACAAAGTGTATTTTAATTCAATGTTCCACATAATTTACAAAGAATGGAGTACAAATGATATACCTCCTCTTTTTTCCACACTATAAAAAACTTACAATGAAACCTAATTTACCAGTATGCCCCTCTCTTCATCTCTATACATATGTGACTGATCTTTGAACAAGAGCAATTTTCGAAGCATCACCGCCGATTTCCTCGAACACTATTACCAAATTCCGCACAGGCTTCAACCATGACCGAGGAACGTGATACCTGAGAAACCAATTCAAGAAAACAAATTAAATTAATAAACTCACAAAAATAATAATTAATAATGTAATTAACGGTTCATTGAACAAATTCGTTCAAAAACTCCTACATACAGTAGCAGAGCAAGCATACTGCCAAAGGGGGGCAACGGCCCCCACCACTTCTCAAACCTATAGAATTTATATGCATTGGCTGAGCCGGACGGGGGGTGGGGGGGCAACGGCCCCCACCACTTCTCAAAAACCTAGAATTTCATATACAGTGACGAAGCCAGCATACTGCCACTAGGGGGCAAAGGCCCCCACCACTTATCAAAAACCTAGAATTGTAAAAACATTTGTCTCCTGAAGACAAAATTCTGGCTCTGACACTGCCTATATACATATATGTGTGTGTGTATATATATATGTGTGTGTGTGTGTATACCATCTTTGAGTCGGTTTTCCACAGCCGTATTGGCATTTTGCCTGACGAAATGTGCCGGCATAGCTACACGTGTTGCATTGACCTTTAGCATAAGCATTCCAATATCTTCCGATACTTTGGCCGTTGATCCACACTTGGCCTTTGCCCATGCTACCTAAGTCCAAGGCTAAAGGCTCGTTTCCTCGTGGTGCATTGAAGTAAGCCTATCGGTGAAGCATCAAGAAAATTGAAAATAAATTATAAATGCAATGAAGTTGTTCGCTCTAGGCATTTAAGGTGTGATTGGATCGAGGAAAAATACAATAGTGCGTAAAACATTGTTAATATCGGTTACCTTGTACCACGTAAGTGGCCGGTGCTCGTTTGCTACAAATGACTCTTTTAACCAATCAATAGAGGAAATTTTACTCGGTGAAGCTAAGTTCATCGCTTCCCCTTTCAACCCGACCTGGAAAAAAAAAACTATCACGTTTTATCCAAATTTCAATAGTATTTGTAAAAATAACAAGAAAAAATAAATAAATAAATAAAAGAAAAAAAAAACCTTGTATGACCATTTTTGGCTGGACAAGTCTCTTGGTCCGTGGTCTAGGCCATGTACAACAACGGGCCCCACTACTCCGGTGCTCCATGTTTCGAAACGGTGGCCGTTGTTCTTGAAAATTATAAATAAATTATATTATTATATAGTTTAAAGTATATATATAAAATTAAATATTGTAAATGAAAGATGGAAATTCCGGTAGTAACTAACCGGCAATCCAACAGCTACACTGAGTAGAGCGATGCCGTTTATTCCAGCATGTAAGTTGACAGCTTTGGCGAAGGTGAGTTTTCTGTTTTCTTGACTCCCAAATGATGATCCTGTATTAACGATACATTTCATCATGTCATTATATATATATATATATATATATATATATATATATATATATATATATATATATATATATATATATATAACTCCATAAACAAAATAAAAACATGTGTGTCTTACCTGATAGTTGTCCATTTACAAATACATGCAATACATGTCCTGCTGAATCCACACTGAGAATTGGACTCGATCCTCCACGTAGAAAAGATTCCGTTGAACTAATCTCGACACTGCCCGAAAATTTAAATTTGTTAATTGCATGAAAATATATATATTAATCCCTCTAATTAAAATTGCATCTTTTCTTTTTTTTTTTGTTTGTTAACCTGGTCATGTACCAAAGGTAATCGGTAGCATCTCTAGTGACGTTTAATTGCTCCAAAAGACCAACAACCGTGATTTTTGCGTCGACATCGTTCGACGAAATGTCTTCATTGAATGTTTCCCACGATAGCATTCTTGCATTTGTAGGCAACATTTGTGGCAATGTTGTCTTCGATCTAACCTATATACGGTCCAAAAACAATCGCTTTTGTAAGACGAGTAAAATCAAGGGCAAAATACGGCCAACCCCCTACGTATGGTCAAATTACGAAAAAACCCCTCATGTTTGAATAATTACAACCACCCCTCAACTATGCATTGTCTTACACGTCCACCCTCAAATTTACTGTTGAATGAGGGGTTTTTCATAAGACAATACATAGCTGAGGGGTTTTTTAGTTATCTGACCTTACCTCAAGGGGTGGCCGAATTTGCCCTAAAATCAAAGAACTTAAATTGAGCCTCTTTTTTCTCTCTTTTCACAATAAAACCTTTCGCGAAAAATTGAACCCCTAAACCTTGTAAATATTTCCTACACATTTGACATATATATTTACATGTATGCGTGCACGGAATTTTTTCCAGAGGCCGAATATGCATTAAAAGTTATCTAGTATAAGGGAAGCGGTGATACTACATTATTCGAAAAATAATAAGGATTTATATAAAATACTATATTTTTTAGAATGGATGGGGGCCACGGCCCCCGTGGCCCTCTTCTGGCTAGCTCCAACACTGTGTGTGTGTGTGCGTGTGTGTGTGTGTGTTTACGTCTAAATTTATAACGAGACACTATTCAATGTATTTCACCTCGTAGAAAATGGATTCAATGTAAACGAAGAACTAAGGGAAATCGCTAACTTGAGAAGCAAAATATTAATTAAAAAAATGAAATTGTTATATGGTAACTTACCGTTGCAGTATTATAAACGGCATATTTGCAATCGGGGAGTATGCTAATTGACCAAGGAGGCAGATCGTAGTGCATATTATTAAATGTCACCCTTGCACTTTTATCCCAATGGTAATTCGATAAAAACGCTGCACATTGTCCCGGTTTTGAAGAATACACATGTGCCTACAAAAGCCGAAACGAAAATATAAACACCGAGCCATTCGATTTTTCAGAAGAATAATAAAAAATAAAATCAATAAATAAATAAAAAGATTCATTTTTCAAAGATATGGAAGAATTTTAGCATAATATATATATATATGACTAAAATACCCTTGCCGGTAAATACCTGTTCGTAGTTTCCTAAAGCAGTAACTTTAGGATCAGCGGCGATCAAAGCAGGCTCGCATAATTTTATTGCATTATGAAGTTCCTTTAGATGATTGTATTTTGGCTGTCTTAATAAGCCTGCAATTTAATTAAATAGATAAAATATGAAATTTGTAAATATTAATTTATTTTAATAATATTCTTATGTTTCTTACCGTATTCATCGATAGGAGCATCGTAGTCGTAGCTGGTGGTAATAAAAGGACCTCCAGCTGTTCTTCCAAAATTTGTTCCTCCATGGTACTAATTAAAAAAATAAAAAATAAATAAACAAAATTGCAAGTATTTGTAGGAATAAAATTGTGTATGTCCGGCCTAAATCTCCGATGTATTGATTATTTATATGACAAAAATGATTCATTTATTTATTTAACCACCTTAGATATTTTAACTACTACGTAGTTAGTTTGATTATTTATTTTTTTATGAAATCAAATATTCAAGATTTTTGCCCAAAATCGAATAAAACCTTAAAAAAATTAACATATTCGAAATCTATCAAATTTATTCCAATTACAAAATTTTATTTTACCATGTAGTAGTTTACGAAGGAGCCACCTTTCTGAATGAACCTAGCAACTGCAAACGCCAAATCTTCAACCGGACGATGATGTATTGGCCCACCAAACTCTTCAAACCTTCACACGAAAATCGTAAACAAAAAAATTATCGCACGTATATTTTTTTTCATTAAAAAAAAATAAATACAAAAAAAAAATGGTACCAGCCAGTCCACGCCTCGGTCCATATAGCCGGCTTGTAAGGTTTGTTCGGAGAAAAATAATCACAATAAAAGCCGTTGCATGTATTAATCTGCCACACGAGAAAATCGACTATGATAAAATGCAAGAAAATAGGAAAAATAGAATAATTTATTCTTTCGTAATCTATAAAATAAAATAAAATAAAAATATAAATTACCACTGGATCGGGGGCATCGTCTTCCTTACACATAACCCAAGGCACACCGGTATCTAATTCCACAGCCATTTTTGCAGCCCAAGACATATACGAATGACCGGCTGAACCGAAGCTCTTGCTTTCCAAACCGTACTCGTTTTCGATCTACATTATTACAACAATCATTTTTCATAATTGAATTTAATTTTCTTTTTCTTCGAACTCTATTAAGGCCTCGTTTGGTTGCTACTGTGGTAAGCGGAAATTTTCCGGAGACGAATATTTGTTTGACCAAACGAGGCCTTAAAGAAAGAATGTGTCTAACCTGTGAGAGAATAATTGGACCACCTTGAGATTGGAACAATCTCTCATTCTTCATCATTCCGACTATTTTCTCGGTAAATCTTTGCATTGCCATCTTTGAATAATTACAAAATTAACAAATTAAATTAAAAAAATAACAAATAAAATTAACAAAAAAAGATAAATAAATAAAAAATAGAAATTCACACACACACATACATACCTTGAAGGGTTCATTGTCAGTTCTGAAGCTAATGCCTGGAACATACTTCAACCAAACAGGGAACCCTCTGAAATTCAACATACATAAAAAATTATAGCAAATATTAATTAAAAAATATATATATTTATATATTTTTTATTTATTTATTACTTAATTTAATTTTAGAAAATTAATTACCCAAAATTCCATTCAGCACAAATATAAGGCCCAATACGAAGATGCAAATACAGCCCTGCTTCATGTACCAACTTTATGAACCTTATTAAATCACATCTTCCCTCAAAATTATACTGAAAATTAATAAATAAATTAATTAATTAAAAAAAACACACAAAAATTGAACACATTAGCTGAGAATTTTAAGGATTCAATAAAGAAAGAAATAAATAAATAAAATAGAAAAGTACATTTCCAGGTGAAGGTTCATGAAGGTCCCAAAATACATAAGTATCAATAGCATCTAACCCTCCATCTTTAGCTTTTTGTATAAGCCCCTCCCACATCTGCATTTCTTGAAAATATTATCTTTAATTTAAATAAATAAAAATAAAATTAATTAAAAAAAAAGAATTTGGGGGTTTTGTTTAACTTACATCAGGTGAGCTTCTTGGATAATGAATGGAGCCAGAAAAAAGAATCTTTCTTTGGCCATTGATTACAAGAGCTTTTCTGTCATAGGTCACACTGCAATGTGAGAGCTGAAGAAATAATAATAAATTTAACAATGTAACACATAGCACAAAACACTTGGCTTCCATTTTCTTCTTTCTTTCTTTCTTTCTTTCTAGAGAGAGAAAGAGAGGAAGACAAGAGAGAGAGAGAGTAAAGGTTGGATTTTTATACAATGAGAATGTGGAGATTCACTCTGACAGAGAGGCTTTAAACAATTTTTGGACATTACTAAAGACAACATTTCGACACTGATCAGTTCAACAATTTAATAGTGTGTGTGTGTGTGTGTGTGTGTGTGTGTGTGTGTTTATTTTATTTTTTATTTTTATTTTTGGATATGATGGTGTTTAATTAAATTCATGTCAAATCATGGATTCTAGTGAGCCCTGATTTTGTTGTATATTTATTTATTTTATTTTTATTTTTGGGTACCCTTTTGTCTGTCTGTTTCTACTATTTTTGCAGCACAGAGTAATTTGCTGCTTTTATTTTTTATTTTTTCTTTTTTTTTCAATTTCTTTAATTTAAATTTATATAATATATACAGCTTGTAATGAGGATTATACTTGGGAAGAAAACAAAGTAAACAAAGCTATTTAGTAGAAGTTAAAAGGGATTATTAAATAAAAAAAAAAATGTAATTTTTTAAAGAAGAGTGGAGCTGGAGGACAACTATTCATTTTCACCAAATCTGAGGAACTTTTATGACAATCTAACACATGATAATGTGTTAGAATAAAGTAAGAAAATCACATTCATGCATTAGGGAAGTTTGTGCTTTTAGGTGAGTGTGTTAGAAAAGTGTGTGTTTTGAATTTTTTGTCAAGTGTTTCTCTTGTTGTGTGAGACAATGGTAATAATTCTTTATTACCCATTTGGGTTTTGTTTCAAATTTTAAATAGGCTGAAATAATTATTAAACCAACGAAATATCAAACAAAATTCAATTACGTAATGCATTTCAATATATATTTATATTCATAGTAACTCTTTCTTTTCCATGTGACACCGATTTTGGATTGTGCTAAACAGGTTCGAATTTGACACTTACTGATGAGTCAATCTGTTTTCTCTGCTACAATAAATTATACACTAGAGATGCAAGCTGCACTGAAAAAGCTAAAGGACAGATAAATGTGATGATGATTATTGAGAGATAATGTGGTGATTATGATGATTATTATATTAATTCACAAATCATGAGGACCCCCCATTCAACACATCTCTATAGCCTCACTTATTTTTCATGACCATGTGTTAGTTGCAACATCTCATCTTTAAAGTGATTGAAATTATCTAACTCCCTAATTAGTTTCGTGGCCATATTTAGTTGTAACCACCCTTTGAAAATGACATTAATTAATAAAAGTTCCCCAAAACAAAATTCAATACATATTACATATTAAAAATTTAAAAAAAAAAAGAAATATTTAAAATATAAATAGACTATGTAATATGAAGAAAGATGCCCCATGTGAGAAGCTATTTTGACAAGTCCCCTTCACCTATTAGCTTTTTGTCCACACTAGTGAAACAATAATTGTCGGTTGGATTGTTGATAAATTGATAATAACAATTCCAAAATCCGTGACATCTCATATATATTGTCATTTGTTTCCCCATGCCTAATATTTAATATTAGTGCAACAAAATACCGTGAATGCGCACTTGTGCATTAAATACTTCTGCATCGAAATGTAACCCATATTTATTCCTCACCGAGTATCCCACAGTTGGATGCTATACCTGGTTATTAACATTGGGTGAATTTTAACTGTAAATTTAATTAAATAACTATTTACTAAGCAAATATTCACATGAGTTGGTGTGTGTGTGTATAATTAATTATATGTAGCTCCACGGTTTAAATTCATCATGTTTAAATAATCATACGTAGCATCTAATTTCCGCAAAGGACCTATATCAATTACCAAATCAAGAGAGAGAGAGAGAGAATTTATTATATCCATGTAAAAAAAAATATGCATTTATTCATGTATTTAATTCTGAAAAGTAACCCTAAGATATATCAATTTTGAGGTGGGAGACCATTACCCAATTTTGAGATGAGTGTACTTAATAGATCTGTTATAGATAGGAATCGGAATGGACTTCTTATCTTTAAAGAAAATAGGATAAATTACAACCCCTGATGTATGGTTAAATTACAAAAACCCCCCCTCTTGTTTGGGTAATTACAACTACTCCTCAACTATAAATCTTTTTAAATGTCCACCCTTGCGGTTTCAAATTTAGTGGAATCTTCGAGATTATATGAAATATTATCACTTTTGTACCATTTTTATCCCATTCGAACTCCACATTTTGAAGCAAGATGATCATAATATGTGTTTTTTGGCTTGTATATATCAGATTGTGGTTATGCATCAGAAATTGTATTTTTACACAAAATGAGTACAAACTAGAGCACATTCCACGAAATCTAGATGATTATGTTGAATTTGACACCATAAGGGTGGAGATGTAAGAAAAAATCATAGTTGAGGGGTAGATGTAATTATCCAAACAAGAGGGTTTTTTTTGTAAATTGACCATACCTCATGGGGGTGTTTGTAATTTACCCAAGAAAATATATATATAGTAGACAAAATAAAGAAACATGTCATGTGTTTTCAACCTTAGTATATTGGATAGTGATGATGCATTTCTTCATTATCCATCCAAATCCATACTACCTTCTTTCATTGAATTATGCAGCTACCCTACCAAAATGGGCAACCGGATAAGCTTTTATATGTCATTATATGGTTATTCTGTTTCATATGTATTGATGGGGATCGGTTCGGTCCCGTTCGTCCGAACTCCCAATTTTGAAGACTAGTGGGCCAAGGCCCAATGAATAATAAGAGCTAAGTGCAAAACCAGGATGGGCCACGACCCATTAGATCAAGTTACAGTAATAGGTGAGAATCAAAGTGGGCTAAAGTGTTCGCCAAAGAGAGCGTAGTGGTGAAGATGTCAGATAGCCCACGTTGGTAAAAGTTTATTAGGACAAAACGAGGGGTAGGTGGCGAGCTTGAAGACAGTTGTTGTGCGAAGAAGATTCGAGGATTATTGTCATAAAGGAATATGAAAAGTGTTTAAATTAAGATAGATAATTGGGTGATGTAAATCTCGGACAAATAAAAAGGCTTTAAATTAGCAAATATCCCATATATGATTCTCTGTATAGATGAATGTATCAAATCTAACCCTACCGGGTTACGATTTAACATCTGTAATACACTCATTTTCTGAATTCTCCTTCTCTTATTTTATCTTTTTCCGGTCGATTAGTTCGTCTACCGACAATGGGCGTACTCTCCAACGAATGGAGGAGTTGGATTTGGAAGGATCTCTTGAGGTGCAAATTATGCACCATCATATATATATATATATATATATATATATATATATATATATATAGAGAGAGAGAGAGAGAGAGAGAGAGAGAGAGAGAGAGAGAGAGAGAGAGAGTAGCTATTGCATGGAAAAAGAGCACGCGCAGCAAACTTGTCCACACCTACACCTCAATGAAAATAGATATTGCTTTTACTACAAGAGAAAATGAGTAGCAAAGAAAACACAAAAAATGATATATCAAAGGGTAAAATGATTTTCCCCTTTATGACTAGAACCAAAACTTAAACCAAAAGCATAAAAAATAAATTTATACATTGATAACAAATAACTCAATCTATCAAAGGGAGGGTTAAAAAAGAATAACATAAAAACTTACCAGAATTATGTTTCGAACCATCTCTTAAGACTCCTAGAGCCTTGCTTCTTGTCACCAGAACGAACATAGTCGCCCCCCGAAAATTTTGATCTGCATCGTTCTTCTTACTGATTTGTGTATCTTTTATTCTAGTTCAAGTGATTATCTCTATTTTCTTTACTAGTATCGATCAATCCCTTTCCTTCAATTGTTCCGATTTATCACTATGCAACATCCTTCATTTTCTTTGTGCTCCTACGTTTGTTTTTTCTTGCTTAACAGTATCAATTTTACCTCCTTTTGATGTAGTGGCTTCACTTGCCTTTTTTTGCTCATTTCTCACCTCCTTTGGCTTCGACTTCTGTATCTTTTTCTCTGATGAAAAACACGTCTTTCAAAACCCTTATGCTTCTCAGGTAAAACGGCCTTCTTCGGTTGGAGTTCCTTCACTAAGTTCATTCTCTGAATTCCGTTTTTTATTCGGAAAAGGCTTCGAATATGAAATGGAGTCTCTGAAATTGTGAGTTCTTGAATTCATGTTCGAAAGGGGAACCCACCTTCTGTATCGTTGCGAAAAGCTTGATGCTGAAATTGAAGCTTTTCTGCACGTTGCTTCAGTTTCTGGACGTTATCTAAACCAAACTCCACGATTGGTCAATGTTCAGGATCAAAAGTATCTGTGAAACCATTACACACACTGCATTAAAATTCAGGACACTGATCGAAGCAAGGGGTAAAACCGTAAAACCACATGATTCAAAAAACTATAATCAAATAAAGAGACACTAACCAGGGTTATTGTTAACAACTCTTTGGGACACAAGTGCATGTTGATGCTCGGTGAACTCTAATAAAGCCACACCACGCGGACGACTTTTTTCACCTTCCTTTACTTTTTCGGAAGCATCCTGCAAGATCTTTTATCTGCACACACGAAAAAAAAATGTTAAATGCAAAATAGGTCAACAAGTAAAAATCTGTCGACATTAGAGAGACAATTGCCGAAAACCATTATTCAATCTGACGAATGAAGGGTTTTTGCTTTGTGGCACGAGAGGTAACTGCATCCATGAAAATTTGTCGAAGATCTTTTTCGTACATAGTCTTTGGCACATTGTATACAACGAGAGCCTTGTCGACAGCATTCGGCAGCTAAATGATTGTCCAAGTCCAGTGAAAATATATAGAGAGAGAAACATCACAAAAGGCTACTAACGCGACAAACCGATTCGGAATTAGTTTTTTTGGAGAAAAAAAATCGATTTTTTTTGGACGTGACAAACTGATTCCAGTTATGTTCCAAAAATATTGGAAAAATCGAAAATTGGAATAAACTAACTCGTTCTAATAACGTAAAATTTTCGGATTCCAACTCTGATAAAAAAAAAAATGGGATTAGAATCGAAAAAATATTGTTCCAAAATCGATGAATTTCGGATTAAAATAAGAAATTGCCATTCCAATTTTCACCAAAACCAAAATGGATTTCCGTTGCCGGGACTTGAACCCGGGTCTCTCGGGTGAGAGCCGAGTATCCTGACCAACTAGACTACAACGGATTTTTGATAAGTTTGTACAATGTTTCAATAATAATACTCACAAGGTTGAGCCCAAAATGATATTTGTACTGTGAAAAATGTCAACAGTGGGCCCGGGCCAAATTTAATTGCCCCTACTCAAAACTGGTAATACGTACGAATATAATCTCACTGTGACATTTACCAAAATTGTAACAAAATAGCTGGCAGTAATTACAAGTAATAACTAAATAACTCGCTATATATTTTAGTGTCAATCTGAAGAGATGTCTGTAATTTTTCAAACTCGAAATGGTTTACCTGTAATTATATTCAAGTTCGGGGATATAATCAGGTAGATAATACTTTATTCTAAAAAAATAATTACTTTCCTGAAACGTCGCCGTTTTGTCCAAAGAAAAGGGCAATAGCACACTAATTGCATGAACTTTAAGGAAGAACCCCAAGACTTTCCCACCTTCTTTCCATTTTAGCTTACATTACTCAATACTTTATTTTATTTCCTAACTCATCAATTATTTCAGCTACACATTTCATGTGTTCACACTATTTTATCAATATTTGGAGTTTTTATATTAGTTTTTCTTTTTACTAATTTTTCAATTTTTACTGCACTAAAAATAAGTAATTTTAACCTGTAATTCGAGAAGTTAACAGCGCTTTTGTAACTAACTAGAAATCTGAGAATTAAAGTTTATTTGCAACGCATCAACTTCTATATTAGATATTTATGTTTTTTGTCCCTATTTACAAACACTACCAACTTTTAAAAATAAATAATTATTTCTAGTTTTACCTCATAATCACCGGCTTTAACTTTTTCAATTTTTTTGTAGACACCACCTTAATTTTTGAAATATATTAACCATAGTTCGTATTTAGTTTTGGGGAAGAAAAATCAAAATTCAGAAAAATGCAAAATGAAATTAATGTATCATTGAAATTTTAAAATGATGAATAATTAAAAACAAAAGGGTTTTATTATAAGACAATAAATATTAAATACTTAAGTACTTGAGGAAGTACATATATATATTTAATCTCTTACTTTTATTATTCATTTTAAATTATATGATTTATTCCAGCATATAAAGTACAATCCATTTATAAACTAAAAAAATAATATAGTTTAGGGTAATTTACGGCCACCCCTGAGAGTTTGGGTAATTACAACAATCCCTCAACTGTGAATCTTTTTACACGTCCACCCTTGCAGTGTCAAATTTAGTGAAATCTTCTAGATCATGTGCAATATTCTCCAATTTGTACCCGTTTTATGCCTTCGAGCTCCACATTTTGAAACAAGATGATCATAAAATGTATTTTTTGGCTTGTAAATATCAGATCGTGATGCGTCAGAAACTGCATTTTTGCATAAAACGAGTACAAACTAGAGAACAGTCCACGTAATGTAGAAGATTCTGTTGAATTTGACATTGTAAGGATAAACACGTAAGAAAATTCTTAGTAAAGAGATTATTGTAATTATTCAAACATAATAATTTTATTTTTTTTCCGTAATTTGACCTTACCTTAGGCTATCAGTGTAATTTACCTCAAACATATTTTTGGTTGAAATTGTTTAGAGTGAAAAATTAGGTTTTTTTTTTTTTTTTTTTTCACATATTCCACTCACGAGTAAAAAGCCCATAAAAATTGGGCCTAAAAAAGAGTTAATAATTAAATAAGTTAAAAAAAAAAAAAAAAAAAAGACGTGTGAGACAAGTACTAGTACTAGTTATAGTACTACTGAGAGAGTTTTTGCATCTGCAAATTCAATTCAATTCAATTCAATTCAAATGGCTACTGCAACAAACACAACCTTCAAATTTCAATAAACACACACACACAACAACAATTATGGGCAACACTCTGCAAACACTCCCCCAAATTCCACCACCACCGCCGCCGCCGCGGCCGGACGAACAGGAGGAGGAGGAGCTGCAGGAGCGGCGGCCGGAGGTGGGGAATCGGGAATTCACCTGCGAAATCTGCATAGAGCCGGCGTCGATTCGGGGGAAGAAATTCAGGAACGGGGGGAGGTGCAGCCACCCGTTCTGCACCGACTGCGTGGTCAAGTACATACGCGTCCAGCTGGAGGACAACAACGCCGCCCGGATCAACTGCCCCGCCCCCAACTGCGGCCACGCGCTCGACCCCCGCGCGTGCGCGCCGCTCGTCGGCGACGCGCTGTTCGTGCGGTGGTGCGACGTGCTGTGCGAGGCGGCGATTGTGGGGTCCGACAGGTGCTACTGCCCCTACAGGAACTGCAGCGCGCTGATTCTGAACGAGTGCGGTGGGGTTGTGAAGAAATCGACGTGCCCTAGCTGTAAGAGGTGCTTTTGTTTCCAGTGTAAGGGGGTTTGGCATGCGGGGTTTGGGTGCGAGGAGAGTGGGGAAATTAGGGATACAAACGACGTTGCTTTTGGTAGGCTGGTTGAACGAAGGAAGTGGAATAGGTGTCCTCGGTGTAGGCATTTCGTCGAACTCAGAGAGGGCTGTAAGATTGTCAAATGCAGGTGATCAATTAATTTTTTTTTTTTTTCATTTTCGCCTTTTTTTGTTTGATTTTTATTTTTTTGTTTGATTTGTGTGTGTGTGTGTGTGTGTGTGTGTGTGTTTTCTTGTTTGGGTTTTTGGGGGTTGAAGATTTTTTATTTAATCCTGATTTCTTATCCTTTTACAATCGGTGAGTAATTGAATTTAACAGCGAATTTGATTGAGAATTCAGTCATTTTTAGAGTAATTTACTTATTCTTTTAAATTATTTTTTACTTTTTTTGTTTGATATATCTGTGTGTGTGTGTGTGTGTGTGTGTGTGTGTGTGTGTGTGTGTTCTTGATTGGGTTTTTTGGGGGGTTTTTGTTTGATGAATTTCTGACTGATCGTCTGATGAATTTGATATGGGTTGAGGATTTTTTTATTTCATTTCCGATTTCTTATCCTTTTACAATCGGTGAGTAATCGAATTTAACAACGAATTTGATTGAGGATTAAATCATTTTTAAATTAATTTACATATTTCTTTTATTATTTTTGCTTTTTTTTTTTGTTTGATTTGTGTGTGTGTGTGTGTGTGTGTGTGTGTGTGTGTGTGTGTTTATCTTGATTGGGGTTTTTGGGGGTTTTGTTTGATGCGTTTCTGACTGATCGTCTGATGAATTTGATCTTGATTGAGGATTTTTTATTTAATTCTGATTCCTTATCCTTTTACAATCGTCGAGTAATCGAATTTAACAACGAATTTGATTTGAGGATTCAGTCATGTTTAATTAATTTACAAACCATCTTTTGTAAGTAAAACTCTCATGTTCTTGGCGAGGAATTCGATTATCGATATGTTTCGTTTTAATGGTGTCTTAAAAGTATATTAAGTGTCGAAACTCTACACCCGCTAGATCTTTACCGTTCATCTACACACACCAACACGTATGTGTGTGTTTTTTGTGAGCATTTTTCAATTGATTTTTCTTTTGTTCGTCTTCACTTTGTTTTAAATATTGATATTTTCGTCTTTCGTTTTGCCCGTGTGATGATTAAAAATAGAATATATGACACCCTTTTTGTCTCATAAGCACGTTATAATATGAATATACTGTCGTTTGTATACTGTCCGACTGATTTATTTCTCTGTTTGTTTGTGACATTACTCTGCATTTTTATAGTATTCTGATCTCAAAATCTTGGTTTTTAAACCTGGGTTTTTCGATTGATCGAAATTCGAAAGTCGATACATTGGGGTTTCGTTAACCCGCAGCAAGAGACCGTTCTGAAATTTTTTTGGTTTCTTAGAAAATAAATAACGTCTCGAGTACGGGTTTTAATAAACCTTGATTTCCTTTATTTATTTATTATTTTATTTTTCGATGCAGATGTGGGATTAGTTCCTGCTACAAGTGTGGGAAGCTGGTTAATCAGCACTGGTGCAGCTGTGACAAAACTTCTCGGTGCTGCGAATGGACATTCAAAATTTGTATAGTTCTCGTCGTTTGCTTCACATTTACAATGTTTTTCATGGCTTGGCAAAGCAAAACTACGAGATGAATACGACGCAATATAGTTTGTATATATAATATCGCGAAGAACAAAAAAACACAGGACGATGGAACTGGCATTTTTATAACAAAGGGAATGTGATCTGATTCTTTAGGGTTTCATCCCTTTGTAATGCTTACAAGACAGTGCAAATATATTCTGATTTTTCTCTACTTATTTTGCAAGTACATATTGCTGATTAATTATTATTTTTTATTTATTAATTATTATTAAGGCAAATTATGGTTACCCCTGAGGTATGGTTAAATTACGAAAAATCTACTATTGTTTGTGTAATTACAGCCAACCCCTCCTTTTAAATATTTTTATATAAAATTTATGTAACTCGGTTATTTGTCGAACTAAATCGTATATTTAGTTTGGTAAACGGTATGAAATGTTGGCGTACCGAAATTTCGATTCAACTTTACTGATTTAACATCCATAAATTAACCCCTGGATATGTTTTTTTTCGTAAGATAATACATAGTTGAGGGGTGGCTGTAATTACCCAAACATGAAGATGTTTTTGTAATTTGACCATAACTCAGGGATGGCCATAACTTGCCCTTATTATTATGTTTTTTTTTGCCCCCTTCGTGTTTGGCTTATAGGTTGTTGAATGTTGATTAATGAGTTAATCAGAGTGTTTGTGATTATGCATGATTACTCCGAGTTTGTTTTAAATGGTGAAAGTTATCTAACCTTGGATTTGGCAATCAACCTAATTAATCACACTCTTTTTGATTAAAAGCCTAATCCCAAAACTAATCACATGATGGTTTTATCTATCCTACACCCGGTGAAGGTTACACCGGTTGATTTTTTACCGTTGATCTACACATACCAATGTGGATGTGTGTGTGCTTGTGTGTATATGAATGGTAAAGATCCACCCGGTGTAGAATCTCAAAAGCCTCACATGATAAATGCACAACATAATAATGGGTAAATTGCAAGTACCTCCTTGCGATTATGTGTAATTAGCGATAGAGGTTTGCTAGTTTGAGTAATTTATATTATTATCCCGAGACTAGGTCTCATACATATAGACTCCTTATATTTTAAAATATTACAAAGACGCCCCTGTGGATGTAGGGTCATTCCGATCCGAACCACGTTATCTCGGTGTCGATTATTGTTTTTATAGATTCGATTGATTATTGAGTTTAGATTTTGCAATTGCATGAAATTACGTTGATCGATTTACAACAATAACTTTTAAAGATCGATAAATTTGTATCACTCGACTCAATTCATTTACATATATGTATTTTCAATTATTCGGAATTTTTTTCCTTTCTTCTTTTCTTTATGCTAGTTATTATTCGAAATTTCGGATAGCGACAATTCATTTGATATCTTATTTTACCATATCCTAGGTGACATGGTCCCACAACTCTATTATGTTATTATCAATAATATTCTCTTTTTTGGCATCTTATAAATATAATTATATAGGTAAATTACGGCCACCCCTAAATTAATATTAAATTACAGAAATATCTTAAATATTTGAATAATTACAACCACCCCAATCAATTATAATTTTTTTTACACATTTATCATTGCAGTGTCAAATTTAGTGAAATGAAATATTCTCCAGTTTTGTACACATTTTTTCGCAATCGAGCTCCACATTTTCAAAGAAGATGATCATAGATATGTCTCTTGGCTTGCAAATATCAGATTGTGGTGCATCAGAAACTGCATTTTTGTATAAAACAAGGATAAACTAGAGAATATTCCACGAAGGGGTAATGGCAAATAGGCCCATGACAAGGGCACTTAATTCAAAAAGGGACATCCAACTTTTTTGTTTTTCAAATAAACCCACCCCATTCAAACTTATTTGCAAATAAGGAAAATCCCTTTATATATACCAAAATTACCCCCAATTCATTGAAACCTAATTCAACTCCAATTTCATGATTTACACCCCAATTTAGCCCAATTTCATCAATTAACCAATTTTAACCTTAATTTCAATTTTGACCCCAATTTTAACCCTAATTCTTATCAATTCAACCCATTATGCTCTAACTTCTTAAATATTACACATTGACCCCGGATTTAAACAAATATATCACATTAACCCCCAAAACTTTTTTTTTTTCAGAAAATAAATTTTTTTTCTGAAATATTTTTTTCCGGCCAGATTCCGGCGTTGACCGCCGGTCTCCGGCGTAGACTTTTTTTTTTTTTTTTTTTTTTTTTGAATTTTCGTTTTCCTGAAATTTTTTTCCGGCCGGTCAACGGCCGTTGACCGCCGGGTCTCCGGCGTTGACTTTTTTTTTTTTTTTTTAATAATTTTGTTTTTTCTTAAAAAAAATATTTTAATTAATTTTACTGTCTTGGCTGCTAAATTACTGTCTCCGACAGCTATTTAACTGTCGGAGACTGTAATTTAACTGTTAATTGACTGTTTTTTTTTTCTTCAAAAATATTTTTAATTAATATTACTGTATTCGTTGCTAAATTACTGTCTCCAGCAGTTATTTAACTGTCGGAGACAGTAATTTAACTGTTAATTGACTTTTTTATTCTTAAAAAAAATATTTTTAATTAATATTACTGTATTCGTTGCTAAATTACTGTCTCCAGCAGTTATTTAACTGTCGGAGACAGTAATTTAACTGTTAATTTACTTTTTTATTCTTAAAAAAAATATTTTTAATTAATATTACTGTATTCGTTGCTAACATCCTGTCCCCAGCAGTTATTTAACTGTCGGAAACAGTAATTTAACTGTTAATTGACTTTTTTATTCTTAAAAAAATATTTTTAATTAATATTACTGTATTCGTTGCTAAATTACTGTCTCCAGCAGTTATTTAACTGTCGGAGACAGTAATTTAACTGTTAATTGACTTTTTTATTATTAAAAAAAATATTTTTAATTAATATTACTGTATTCGTTGCTAAATTACTGTCTCCAGCAGTTATTTAACTGTCGGAGACAGTAATTTAACTGTTAATTGACTTTTTTTTTTATTTTTTTTCCTTACAAAAAAATTTGTTTTAATTAATATTACTGTCTTGGATGTTAAATTACTGTCTCCAACAGTAATTTAACTGTCTTAGACAATAATATTAATAATATTACTGTTCGGAAAAATAATATTCATAATATTACTGTCCCAAACAGTAATATTATTGTCTGAGACAGTAATTTAGTAGTCAAGACAGTAATATTAATTAAAATATTTTTTTTCTAAGAAAAAACAATTCAAAAAAAAAAAAAAAAAAAAAAAGTCAACGCCGGAGACCGGCGGTCAACGGTGGTTGCCCACCCGGAAAAAAAATCCAGGAAAAAAAAAATTTCCAAAAAAAAAAAAAAAAAAAAAAAAAAAAAGTCAACGCCGGAGACCGGCGGTCTCCGGCAGTCAACGCCGGAATCTGGCCGGAAAAAAACATTTCAGAAAAAAAATTATTTTCTGAAAAAAAAAATTTTGGGGGTTAATGTGATATATTTGTTTAAATCCGGGGTCAATGTGTAATATTAAGGAAGTTAGAGCATAATGGGTGGAATTGTTAAGAATTATATTATTGAGGGTATTTTAGACTAAAGACATGGGGATGGGCTTAATTGAGAGACTGTTTTTTTTGTGGACTAAAATGCATTTAAGTCCCATGTGATGGGCCTTTTTGCCATTTGCCCTTCCACGAAACCTAGAAAATTATGTTGAATTTGACACCATAAGGATAAACATGTAAAAAAATTCATAATTAAAGAGTGATTGTAATTACAAAACATTAAGAGTGATTTTTTTGTAATTTCAAGGGATGCCATAATTTAACCTAAATATATTCATAAAACATTAAAAAAATATAATTATCACAAGTTGTTTCGGTTGTTCCGAAGACAAATACAAATACAAATACAAAGAAATAGTCACAATGACCTAATAAAAAAAAACTGCAATAACCAGCCCTACAAGCAACCTTAAAGGGCAGTGGCCATTCCGTGCACGAATCATCTTCCGCCACGTGTTGGATTCCAATTGGCAGTTTCTATCTCTTTTTTTCCTCCCACTCCTACACTCTATACAATATATATCAGCTCTCTACATCTATAAATTCCAGTACAGAGAGATCGGAAAACGTACAAGATATAACAAACAATGGCTTCACGCTTCGCCCTAATTTGCCTCTCCTCCCTCCTCATTGCGACGCTGTTCCGATCTTCCTTCGCCGGCGATGACGTCAGCGGCGGCGCTCAGTCCGACGACCTCTTGATCCGTCAAGTCGTTGACCACGGCGAGGGCGGCGCCGTCGACGAGAACTCTCTGCTGAACGCCGATCATCACTTCGCCGCCTTCAAGAGGAAATTCGGGAAGGCGTACGCCACGCAGGAGGAGCACGATTACAGATTCTCGGTCTTCGAGGCTAACATGCGCCGCGCGGTGCGGCACCAGAAGATCGACCCGTCCGCCGTGCACGGCGTCACTCAGTTCTCCGATCTCACGCCCCGCGAGTTCCGCCAACAGTTCCTCGGCGTCAATCGGCGGCTGCGCCTCCCTTCCGACGCTCAGAAGGCGCCGATTTTGCCGACGAACGATCTGCCGACGGACTTCGATTGGAGAGATCACGGTGCCGTGACGGAAGTGAAGAATCAGGTGCGTTTTGATTTAGGTTTCAGCGTGATTTTTATTTGAATAATTCTTACTTTCCTTTTGGAGTTTTAGCTACGGAGTTCAGTCAGTGTTCAATTAGAGTTTTATTTGCAATAATTCACAGAAAACAAACATATCATCCGAATTCAATGTAATGTAGAGCTGATCGATTCCTCTGTATCTAGGTCAAGTAGAATATTTTGCTTCAGATCCTTTGTTCTTAAATCGAATATGTTGAATTGGATTTTAAAATGCTTCATTGAGCTGGAAGTAGATGTATTTTGATTAGGAATCTATGAGAGTCAACTTCTGAATTTGGTTAATTTTGTTTGCTGATAGTATATAGAACTCAGTTGATAATTGATCAACACTTTGTTATATATAGGGTACTTGTGGATCGTGTTGGTCGTTCAGCACCACAGGAGCACTGGAGGGTGCCAATTTTCTGGCTACAGGGAATCTGGTTAGCCTCAGTGAACAACAGCTCGTGGATTGTGATCACGAGGTTTGTTTCTTAAATCCTCGTTTTTTCATTTATCCTCTTATTGCTGTTTATTATTGACAAATATAGACTTTGTTAAAACAAATTATGTAATTGGTTGCTTTTTCATGTCGTGTTATCTTGTTACTAGATGTATGAAGGAATTTTTAGGTGGTTAATTTACGATATGTGAATGTAACACTGGAAGATATTGATCTAAGTTCAAGTTTTACTTGGAATTTCAGATATGATCTATACTCGTAATTACTCACCAGTTACGAATCTTGTGCGATTGAAATGATTTTTTTGCTGCTTGTTTGTGGTGTTCAGATACATGTGTGTGTATGACATGGAAAAGACCCTTAATCTTAATTATTTATCGAATGTGACAATGTTTGAGTATAATAGAACATTTGATTGAGTTTTCATTTTTTATTTTGTGTGTGTGTGCAGTGTGATCCAGAAGAAAAGGATTCATGTGATTCGGGCTGCAGTGGTGGACTGATGAATAGTGCTTTTGAGTACACACTTAAATCTGGTGGACTCATGCAAGAAAAAGACTACCCATACACTGGCACTGATAAGGGAGCTTGCAAATTTGACAGGACCAAGATTGCTGCCAAGGTTTCTAACTTCAGTGTTGTCTCCCTCGACGAAGAACAAATTGCAGCCAATCTTGTCAAGAATGGCCCTCTTGCTGGTACTTACTCGGAGATTTTTTTTCTATTATTTTCAATTATTATTACTACAAAATTAAGCCCCTCTTCCTTTAGATATATGGAAAAGGGTAATCAGGAATCTAGTTCAGGGGAAAAGCTTTTGTATTACACACACATCAAATAGTTTCTAACACTGACTTTTATTTGATGGGCTTGCTTTTGCAGTGGGTATCAATGCAGTTTTCATGCAGACGTACGTTGGAGGAGTTTCGTGCCCGTTTATATGCGCAAAGCGTTTGGATCATGGTGTATTGTTGGTTGGTTATGGTGCAGGTGCATTTGCTCCAATTCGGATGAAGGAGAAGCCATATTGGATTATCAAGAACTCTTGGGGACCAAACTGGGGAGAAAAGGGCTACTATAAAATTTGTCAAGGCCGCAATCTTTGTGGAGTTGACTCCATGGTTTCGACTGTCGCAGCTGTTACTACTTCATAGTTAAGGTAACTATGAATTTGTGACTAAATAATTTATCTCAACCCATGTATATAGATGTGTTTCCTGCATTTTCTGACAACCGACGAAGTTACCTTCTTCTTCGTTTTTTCCTTTTTAATTTAATGTGCTCTTATATTATTCGGCTATTCTTAGAACAAACATCGGATTCTTTAGTCGCATGTGACTAATGAAAGAATGGAAACGAATTCGGCAAAATAGATTTGTGTTGTTCTCCACTTGTTTTTAATTCAGTGAACTTCGATTTGAAATCAATGAATCACATTACCAATAAAAATCTCAAGAATAGTTTCTCCATTCAAAAAATAATTGAATTTAATGCATCACTAAATTAAATAATAGGGTAAATTACACCCACACCCCTGAGGTATGCTTAAATAACTTTAAGGTCCCTGTGGTATCGGTAATTACATTCACTCACTTGAAACGTAGTTATAAACTCTAATGGGATAATGCATTGGAACCCTATCGGAATAATGTATTCAATGCATTATCACGTTAGGGTTTCTAACTACGTTTCAGGGGGTGAGTGTTATTATCGATACCATAAGGACCTTAAAATTATTTAAGCATACCACAGGGGTGTGGGTGTAATTACCCTAAATAATAAAAACTCTTTTTCTATAATGCCTACTACATTTTATATATAAAGGGGAAAATTTAAGAAGCCTGCCTATTCTAAAATTAACTAAATAAAGGGGATGTAGTATCTTACGAAAAGACCCCTTTCAGAGGTAAATTTAGGGATGTTAATTGGTGGTAAAACCGAACCGAAAAATAAATATCGATACGCCAACATTTCATACCGTTTCCGAACTAAATATACGATTTGGTTCGGTAAATGACCGAATTACATAAGTTTTATGTAAAAATATTTAAAACGAGGGGGGTTGGCTGTAATTACTAAACAAGAGGGGTTTTTTTTAATTTGGTCATACCTTAGGGGTGGCCGTAATTTGCCATAATTTATTTATGGAAGTTATACGAAAATCTTCTTCTTTTACGACTGTCTCTGAGCTCGTCACCTACCACTCATTGTCCTTCCTCTTACGCGACCTATTATGTGTTGACGAACTTTTGTACTCGTCAACGATCTTACCGCTAAAATTTCTCTTAGCATCAGTTCGGTTCATCTTTGTACTTACACATTCAGTGGTTCGATGGGCTTAATTTCTATCGTTCGTTGGGCTCTGGCCTAATAACTTTAAGTACGGAGAGTTCGGTGAGGTCAAGTGACACCGAACTGATCCTCGTCATCTACTATTTAATTCAATTGAAAAAGATCATTGGATAGATAATCAACATGTACAATGTACAGTACAGGAATTGTGATTTTTTCTTGCATTATATTTTAAAATTTCGGAATCCAATATATAAAATCGATTATATGATTCTAATTTGGGTTTCCAAGAATTTCACTAAAATCTTTTTACATGTTCGACAATGAAAATTGTCTTCGAAATCGAAAGCACGTGATGGTACGAACATTCCTACTACATTCATATAGCGTACGACAAAATTTAATTTTAAAATTAAATCAGTCATGCATTCCGATATTTAATTTAACCACAAATTGCCTCATTTCACCATCGTTTCGTTACACTCTCTTCACACTGTCGCCATGAACAACAACAAATCCTTCGCTCGCAAGAGTAGCCAGTGCATTTCGAAGCTGACAAAACAACAAAAAGGTCAACGTATCAGCACAGTTACGAAAAAGAGCGAGAAATCATAAAATTTGTTTTCTTGATTTTATCAAAGAAACATTTGAATTATTCGTATTAACATTAACACCATTCCCGACAATATACGAGATTTCTTCGACAATTAGGAAACGGAAAGAGACTCACATCATTAAGGTGGATTTCTGCAGTAGGACTCTGCTTCTTCATCTCTTCGAGTAACTAGGAAAAAAAAATATAATTTCGTAAAAATCAGACAAATGTTTATTTAATTTTGCAGAAAAGAAAATAACAAATGAGTAATTAACATTTAAATATTTCACAAACCTCCAACACGCGAGTTGATTTGCCGCCAATTTGCATTTTCTCCATAATTATGTTGCGTGTGGTCGATACCAAGTTCTCTCGTCTCATCCTCTCACTTGCAGAAACCCCAGTCGTAATCAGATCCATGTCAATCGTTCCTGCTCGACGTATCCGATTATTAAACCACTATATTCAATTAATAACATTAATAAATAAATTTAAAAAAATAATAATAATAAGATTACCTGTTGAATGGTCAGTTGCAGACTGTTGCATTGCAACCTGAAGAAGCCTAAAAGCCTCGAATACATCCTGTTTTTCGACCTGCGAACACGAGTAATATTGTTTATAAAAATAAATCCAAGTTATTCAAAATTGAAATTGGGTGTTAATTAGGAGAGTTTAACGAACCAATTCCGAGAAACGAATTTTGGCCAAGGCCTCACTCAGGCGTATCAAACTTTCGATTTGTCTTGGGGGTTGCTGTTATGACCTATATAAACAAAAAAACTAATCAAGCCAGGGAAAATTTAACTGGTACTAT